ATCGTGGTCTCATCATCCTTAGGGGGAACAAGTTCCCCAACCACGAAGCGGAAGACGCTCTGCCACCGACTTTCTTCACCACCGACATTACCAGGCAGGAAGGTTTGAGGGCTTGTCGCGGGGGTACCAGCGGCCATGGCGCCGGCACTCCCACCCCTGACTCCGTTCCTTCTCATTGAGTGGTAAATAGCCAATAGGAAAAGTGTTCCAGCAGAACATCTCTCGCAGAGTCATATACACACACAGTTTTAATGCATATACGCTCGTGTTCCGCCCTTACTCGGCCGCACCTTTGCCGCTTAAACTTTGACCTCTTTTCCCGTTCCCGCATGCCACAGCAGTGGCACTTGTTTATCCGGAGAAAGAGAGCGAGAGTCGCAGTATTAATTGGCGTGAGCGGCCTTTCCGGCTGCAGAACTAGTGCTCTATCCCGGCGAGCGCCGTTATGAGGCGCAACACCGTCTTTGACGCGTTTAGAGAGAACTCCCCCTGCCTCCCTCCCAGTCATGAGATAGACGTGGACTCGTGGCGAACTCTCAAAGAGAACGCCCACACCGCGTCTGACCGTGGGAGAGGGTGGAGGAGCGCGTGAGGAAGAGCACGGCGTCACCCAAGCATTCTCATCTCTCTGCCTGCACCACTACATGGTAGACTGCGGGCCCAGGCGCACTCATCAATTTAGGTTCCACTGCAATGCATGCCAAGCACTCTTTTCGAGGTGATAGACGAAATTCCGGCCGGGCTTACTTAAAAGATATCCGACCCGGTTTCGTTTCCTCTTCGTGGGATGGAGTGCCTCTTAGAACATGTGCAGCATCAGCCATGAGCGGCCGACGGCCATTCGTGTCTCTGTGGACAGCAGGCAAAAAGAGCTTCTCCAGTTATTAAGTAGGCTAATAACCGTCGCTTGTTGTGGCTGAATGTGGGTGCGCCAAGTTCATGGACCTGCCAGTGATAGGGCTGTTGTTTTATGGGCACGCCTGGCGCAAAGTGCGGCGATTAAAACCCTGGCTACGGAAGCTCGGTTCGGGTTACTTTGCCGTGGTGACAGTCAGCAGGCACCGAACTCGCAGCAACCGATGGATGTATATTTCGACCAGAGAGGAGTGGCGCGACAAGCTCATATATTGCTGCCGCCACGCAATATGCGTTCAACTTGTCGATGCATCTGGTATTCTTGCGATTCACATACCGACACGCAGTTTGCTGCGGTCTTCATCGACCCACGAGCCGAGTGATCCCCCGTTAAGAGTTGTGTATTTGCCATTTGGTCTTTTTGCGACTAACCATCACAGGTCGAGTCTCAATGAAAGGGTTTGACAGACATAGCCCAAGTTTGTGGTTTGGGTTTGGCCGGACGACTTGTTGTTGTTTTTTGACACTTGAATTTCACTCTTTTTGGGTCAAGAGGCTTATTCGCCGGTAGTAATGAACGGACGGGCAGCCGTCCAAAGCCCCGTCCGTCCTCCTCCTCCGGTCTTCGCGCTCTCGCCCGAGTGTGGTCCACCTACAGCGTGGTGGTACCTATTTTTGGTGCGGGGGCCGGGATTGTCCTCTTTCGCTGCTGGAGTTGCCAGAGCAGAGCCCGAGACCGCCCAAATCAGGAGAGTAGTAGTAGTTTTAAGAGCGCCCCGTTCTCTTTCTCTCTGTTAATGATCCTTCCGCAGGTTCACCTACGGAAACCTTGTTACGACTTTTACTTCCTCTAAATGATCAAGTTTTGACATCTTTCCGTCAGCTCGAGGCGACGACCCCAGAAAACCCTCGCGGGCAACGGGGCCGACAATCCAAGAGCGCCAGTCCGAAGGCCTCACTAAATCATTCAATCGGTAGTAGCGACGGGCGGTGTGTACAAAGGGCAGGGACGTAGTCAGCGCAAGCTGATGACTTGCACTTACTGGGAATTCCTCGTTCATGGGAAACAATTGCAAGCCCCAATCTCATCAAGAAAGGCTTGAACGGGTTACCTGCTCCTCGGAGGGGGAAACCGTTGATCCCTTCAGTGTAGCGCGCGTGCGGCCCAGAACATCTAAGGGCATCACAGACCTGTTATTGCTCAATCTCGTGCGGCTAGAATTGCCGCTTATCCCTCTAAGAAGAAGTTGCGAACTGGACACTATTTTCTGGAGATCCGTCGACTACTTAGTAGGCCAGAGTCTCGTTCGTTATCGGAATTAACCAGACAAATCGCTCCACCAACTAAGAACGGCCATGCACCACCACCCACCGAATCGAGAAAGAGCTCTCAATCTGTCAATCCTTCCGGTGTCTGGGCCTGGTGAGGTTTCCCGTGTTGAGTCAAATTAAGCCGCAGGCTCCACTCCTGGTGGTGCCCTTCCGTCAATTCCTTTAAGTTTCAGCTTTGCAACCATACTTCCCCCGGAACCCAAAGACTTTGGTTTCCCGGAAGCTGCCCGCCGGGTCATGGGAATAATGCCGGCGGATCGCTAGTTGGCATCGTTTATGGTTAGAACTAGGGCGTATCTGACGCTTTCGAACCTCTAATCTCGTTCTTGATTAATGAAAATATCCTTGGCAAATGTTGCGAGTAGTTCGCTCTTGCGACGGTTCAAGAATTTCACTCTAGCGCCGCAATACGAATGCCCCCCGCTTGTTCCGGGATAGTCATTTCTGGTTCTGAAAATTAACAAACAGAACCGAGGTCTCATTCCATTATTCCATGCATCACCATTCGGCCATCCAAATACCTGCTCTGGAGCACTCTAATTTTTTCAAAGTAAACTTCTCCGCCACTCGACACTCGGATAAAGAGCATTCCCGCATGCAGCCGGCGGGCGTGGTTGTTCGAGCGTGATAGCAAACACCACTGGGCGTGTGCACCGTCAGTCCGGAATCGATCCAATTCACGAAGCTTTTTTTAACCGCTAAATAACTTTAATATACGCCTATTGTTTGGAATTACCGCGGCTGCTGGCACCAGACTTGCTCCTCCAATGGATACTCGTTAAAGGATTTAGCGTACTTCCATTCCGACATGCAGGCCTCGGATGAGACTCACATCGCTATTTTTCGGTCATCACCTCCCCGCGCCGAGTGGGTACCTATGCCTGCTGCCTTCCTTAGATGTGGTAGCCGTTTCTCAGGCTCCCTCTCCGGAATCGAACCCTGATTCCCCGTTACCCGTTATAGCCATTGCAGGCGCATAACCTACAATCGAAAGCTGATAAGGCAGACACTTGAAAGAAGCGGCGCCGGTGCGGAGACCGTGCGCTCAGCCCGAAGTTATTCAGATTCACCACAGGTGGGTTACGGACCGGGGCCCGACCAGTTTTGAACTAATAAAAGCGCTCTTCCCTTGCGGTCAGAGACCAATTGCATGTATTAGCTCTAGAATTGCCACAGTTATCCAAGTAAGTGGGTTTACAGATCCAATGAAACATAGTTGATTTAATGAGCCATTCGCGGTTTCGCCTTAAATCGGCTTGTACTTACACATGCATGGCTTAATCTTTGAGACAAGCATATGACTACTGGCAGGATCAACCAGGTAGCTGCTGCTGTTGGCGGCGCCTATCACGGCGGCCAAAATAGTGAGATTGAGAGAGAGGCAGAAGACATTGGGCGAGGGACCGCACGTTGGCCTTAGAGAAATAGCAAACCAGATGATCAGATCTAACTGCACCTTCTCTTGCTATCCTCGGCGCCGGCAGCGCCACCGTGTGTGCCAATCTCCTCCCTTATCCGCTCCTCTTTGCCCCAGCTCCAGCGAGGAAGCCGACATTGGGCGAGGGACCGCACGTTGGCGAATCTCCTCCCTTATCCGCTCCTCTTCTCTTTGCCCCAGCGAGGCAGAAGACATTGGGCGAGGGACCGCACGTTGGCCTTAGAGAAATAGCAAACCAGATGATCAGATCAAACTGCACCTTCTCTGGCTATCCTCGGCGCCGGCAGCGCCACCGTGTGTGCCAATCTCCTCCCTTATCCTCTCCTCTTCTCTTTGCCCCAGCGAGGCAGCCGACATTGGGCGAGGGACCGCACGTTGGCCTTAGAGAAATAGCAAACCAGATGATCAGATCAAACTGCACCTTCTCTTGCTATCCTCGGCGCCGGCAGCGCCACCGTGTGTGCCAATCTCCTCCCTTATCCGCTCCTCTCCTCTTTACCCAGCTCCAGCGAGGCAGCCGACATTGGGCGAGGGACCGCACGCTGGCCAATCTCCTCCCTTATCCGCTCCTCTTCTCTTTGCCCCAGCGAGGCATAAGACATTGGGCGAGGGACCGCACATTGGCCAATCTCCTCCTCTCTCTCTTTCTCTTACTGTTTGTGGGGACGTGGGCTCATGAGCGCCATCGTCGCCCAATATTGGTTAGGTTGTGTATTTCACGGGTGGGAACCGCCATCATCGTTGTTAGGTGATGGGGTAACCCAACGTGTGCTTTGACGAGTTTTGGCTGCTAAACTCTCTTTTTAGTATACTCGGCTCCCAGACTGCGCCCTGGTCGTGTTGAACCATGAGCGTTGTCTATGCACATTTAGGGTAGCCGTTTGCGCGTGGAATAGTGCAATGAATCTCGGTCAAGAGACGGTTGGGCGCTGCATTGAAGGCCGGCACAGACGCGAAGACGGGTGATCAGCCAACGCAAGTCCGCTAAGTTGGGCAGACAGCAAGGCGAAGGGGAGCCCCGTTCCGGACTGAAAGGCCGCAGCATATGCTGTGACGGAAACTAGTAGGGTGGCGACGTGTGCGCCGAGAGAGAGAGAGAGAGACGGAGTAAATAATGTCCAAACGGAAGAGAGACCTGGCAAGTGTAATTGATAGAGCGCGAGCCTACTCGCCATAAGCCCGCTCCACTGCCATTCCTCTGATCCAATGAGACTAAAATCTCTCTCTCTCTCTCTCCTTCTGCTCCAGCCACTGCAGGGCAGGGAAGCGACGGCAATTTTGGTTGTTGTTTTTGAATGCCGCGCTTTGCTTCGCAGAGGCGCCGAAGCGCTCCGCTGGGGGGCGGAAGATATTTCACACCGAATATGTGTGTGAA